TGAATATGTTGGGCCGGGGCGGCTTTGCTGAAGTCTGGGAGGTGACGTGAAACCCTAAACCCTAAACCCTAAACCCTCATACTCTAAACCCTCAAACCCTAATCTAGAATTGCCAAACCTGAGCATTAGACCGTTCTCTCCAGTGGCGCCGCATCTCCCCTTCTGACGGGTTTAGGGTTTAGGGTTTGGAGCTTCGTGTTCAGGGTTTAGGGTTCAGGGGCTAGGGTTTAGGGTTTAGGGTTTAGGGCTTAGGGTTTAGGGTTTGTTCAGGTATTTGACCCACTGACATGCTCCGTAGCAGCAGCGAAGCTGCATGTGCTCTCCTCTGTCAAGCGAGAAAGAGAAAGATTAAAAATTGTGAAGAGAGTGCAAAATGAAATAGAAATACACAAAGATATCAGGCCACACCCCCATGTAACCCTAAACCCTAAACCCTAAACCCTAAACCCTCAGGCGAAAACCCTACGCCGACCGATCAAACCTGAATATCAACCGCAAACCACAAACATAACAGCCAGACGAAACCTCCAAATATAAACCCTAAACACTAACCCTTGTACTCAGGCGTTCTAAGAAGTTCCGTGGTTAGGGTTTAGGGTTTAGGGTTTAGTAAATTAGGGTTTAGGGTTGAGGCGGGACCTACAGGACCTCGGGTCTACGATACCTCTGTAGGATACAATGATAAGAAATTTGGCTTAAGGGTTTTGCCGCGGGCATTTGGGGGTGTTAGGGTTTAGGGTTTAGGGTTTAGGGTTTAGGGTTTAGGGTTTGCGCTGCAGATTGTAGAAATGAAGGCTTGCTTTGAGATGGGCAACGATGTCCTCGCCAGCATCCTCCAGTTCTGTGAAGGTCCTAACCCTAAACCCTAAACCCTAGACCCTAAACCCTAGACCCTAAACCCTAAACCCTTGTTCAGCAAGCCACAGCATATGGCAAACACAGCAGCACCAATAGTAGCAACAGGAGCTGCAGCAGCAGGACCAGCAGCAGCACCAGCAGTAGCATCAATAGCAGCAGCAGGAGCAGCAGCAGTAGCAGCAGCAGTAGCAGCAGCAGCAGCAGCAGCAGCAGTAGCAGCAGCAGCAGCAGCAGCAGTAGCAGCAGCAGCAGGTGTTTTGTTTGTTTCTCAGGAGGTGACCTCGATCATTATTTGAAGATTTCGGGGCCTCTGGAGGAGCCGCTAGCTGCTCGTTGGATTCGGCAGATTCTGCTGTGAGCCTTGGCTAGCTAGCTGGCTTGCTAGCTAGCTAGCTAGCTTGTTAGCTAGCTAGCTAGCTAGCGTGCTAGCTTGTTAGCTAGCTAGCTAGTTAGCTAGCTAGCTAGTTAGCTAGCTAGCTAGTTAGCTAGCTAGCGGAGTAGCAAGCGAGGAGGATAGCTAGCTGGATAGCTAGCTGGATAGCCAGATAGCTGGGTAGACGAATGGCTAGCTGGTTAACTAGCTAGCTAGCTAGCTAACTAGCTAGTTTTATGGCTAGCTGGGTGGCTGTGAACCTCAGGGCCCTTCACTACTTGAAACACCAACCCAACGGCAGCATTTACCACCTGGTGAGCTGTAAACCCTAAACCCTAAACCCTAAACCCTAAACACCAAATCCCGAAATGAGGGTTTCGTGCAGAATGCTAGACGTATCTCTTGAGCCCCCAAATGCCAGCGGGGCGTCTCCGCTCGCCCGCTGCTGCAGCGTTTGTATTTATCTGCTGCTGCTGTTTGCTGCGTGCATGCATGCATGCATGCATGCATGCAGCGAGCAGCTGCCGAAGCAGGATAAGTAGCAGCAGCAGCAGCAGCAGCAGCGATGCGGCACGCCGCTGCAGCAGGGGGTGCATGTGAGCTTAGCCGCAACAAGTGGAGCAGAAAAAAAACTACATGCATACGGACGCATGCATATGGATGCATGCATATGCATGCGTGTCTGTTTGGGGCTGGATAGGACGTGAAGCCTGGGAATGTGCTGCTGCAAGAAGGAGACTGCAAGCTAGCGGACTTCGGGCTGAGTTGCTTCGTCCCCAAGGGAGAGACAAAACCCTTCACAGGCGGCGGGACCCTCTGGTACCAGCCTCCAGAGTGTTTGCTGCTGCAGCAGCAGCAGCAACAGCAGCAGCAGCAGCAGCAGCAACAACAA